GACCAACCAGTCACAAAGTACTGTCACACCCGTCACAAGCTAAAAGATTTTTTTTTTCAAATATAATAATGCCATCAAAGCATAAAATGGACCTTATCATTCTATTAACTACATTCGAGAAAGCCGCTATGCAAGAGATATTTTGATATAAAGTTTGTCTAAAATGGGATACGAATCCTTCCACTCAGAGAGGTAGGTGTCGTTGTTGTCTCGACCGTCACTCTTGGGAAAAGGAAAATTTTCTGAGTAAATTATATAACTAAGTTTTCTACTTCATTAGTTTCGTGTCAAACTGATACCTGAACTCAGATGTGAACAGTTGGAAACCTGCCAAATTAAAGGTTAAAGAGAAGTTACTTAAAGTTTGAGGAAAAACCAGTTTAAGTGTCCCACCCGTCACGTTGGAATGCCTCATATATGTTTGAGTAAAGAGATGTAACAATGACTGAACAGCAAATAAACAAAAACAATAAAACCACAAAATTGTATTGAACTAAAAATCCCATAATGAGACGCAAAATCCCACGCGCTCTTTTATGTTGCGAAAATCTCAAATTATGGGCGAAATTCCACGAGTTGGCAACACTGGTATATTGCTTTACAATATAAAGCAATCCTACTGGTTGAGAACATTAAAATTCCGACTTTACTTTGTCCCATGCATTTTTCGACCACCCTAATGTTCATACATAAATTTGTGAGAATTTTGAAGGTGTCTAATTGACGGAAAGTGCACTCAGTTGATATTTAGTTATCAATTGCATTGGCAAAGATACTTGTGGTTTTGCTAGGATCAGGAAAATATCGGAATCTTTATTTTAATTTTCACGAGAAGCAATATCTTTATTATTTGAAACCATTGCAAAAAAAAATTCTTTTTTGGATTTCAATTTTCGATAGGATTTTATAATTATTTTCGCAGTTTTATGTTATATTTTTTTAATAAATTTTTTAGTAAATAATTTTATAAAATCCGGCATCTTCATTTACTTGCCACGTGCTCTTGAGCAAGTTTACAAAAGTACGTACTTATGTTTGGTGTGTATGAAAGAATACGTTTATAAAATGTGATCAACATCCCTCTTCGTCACGTTTCATTGCACATGCAATTGACCGCAAATTAGTTGATTTCAAATACCCATAAAACGGGCATGGGCTCAACCAGAAAAATGCGTAAGCGCCAATGAAAATGAAAAGTAGCAACCACCACCAATTAAAACCAATTAGCACAGGAATAGAGCATGAAATACTTATTTGTATGTATATGTATGTATGTAATGTTTCAATATCAATTTCACCTGTCAATAATTTAGAACTGATAAAGAAATTAATTTGATCGAGCATGTTGAGTAAGACGCCGCTTGCCACGAGGGTAAACCCAAGAGAGGTGATCTCCAACACTTTGGGCGGAGTTGTTGCAGCCGCTAAAACAACTTTGGAAAAGAACTCAGGCTTGTAGACTTATAAAAATTATGTGTAATTCATACGATAGGAAACCTACTTATTTCCTAATATAAACAAGAAAATCAGACGGGAGGTTTCTGACACGATTGCTAACAGGGCATTGTTTGCTAGCAGACCCATGGATTTAAATTAAGTCTTATAGATGACAAAAACTATAGGAAGCGTAACTATGTAAGTTTCACGAGGAAACCGTGGAGCATATAATTTGCGATTGTCCAGACTTCAGCAGGCAAATACTCGAGTTACTCGGCAAGGTGCGGCTGGAGAGCCCACAGTCAGCAATCGACGAAGGACCAAAGTGTCTATTAAAATTCGTTAAAGGAACGGAAATGTTCTTTAACATTGCGTGAAAGCATTGATTCATAGGTCGTAAACGTATCTGGTAACGGTATGGACCTCGTATGGTCAGCCAGCTTATCCTTACCTAACCTGCTTTAGAATTGATTGCCAAAAAAATAAAATAAAAAACCTTAACCCACCAAGTTTGTACGAATTTCTAGCTCAAACACGCCTTTAAACAGCCAAAATTGTGTAGGCTAGATAGGCGGGTGCCACCTTGAGCAAGCTGCGCCGACTGGTCCGCGTGGCCATCACAGAAGATATGGACCCCTTACCAACGGATGCCCTTTATGTCATTACAGGCATTCCTCCTTTGTCTATTCTGTTTGAAAAATAGGCTTGCTGGAGCGCCTTACGATTGCTAAATATGATCAGCTAGAAATTTGTAGATCTTCTGGGTCATTTGGATGTTCTAAAGGCATTCCTGGATAATCACGAATTATCCTTCTACAAACGCTACAAGGTCTGAAAAGGACTGCTGTGAAAAGATAACAACTATGGTTAACGAAGGGTACCAAGTATGGTATAACGACGGATCAAAGATATACGAGGAGGGTACTGAGGCAGACGTATTTGGACCAAGATTCAGAAAAAGTCTGCCAATTTGAACATACCCAACTATATTCCAGGCTGAAGTCTTCGTTATCGAGGTCTGCGTAGAAGCACATATGGGGCCAAAATGAATATAATTTCGGATATTCAGGTATGTTAAAGGCCCTAGACTCTTTTAAAACGGCATCAGACTTGTAAACAATTGTAAAACTCTCTTGAACCACTTGGATGTTCAAAATAGCTTAATGCTTGTGGTGGGTTCCGGGACATGAAGGGTTTGAAGGCAACGAAAGGACTGACTGCCTCCAAAGCCTGGAGCCCAAATGCGCTTGCATAGTCCATAGCCTTTTGTGAGCTGGTTTAGGAAACCCCAGAGTATATTCTATGTGACTGCCCACGTATCATGAATGGCAGACTGAGCGCATTTTAGTTTTACTAAATGTTATATTATCTACATTTTTATTAAACTTGGCATTGGATAAACAATTAAAAAATTTCAAATATTTTTGGTAGGTTTTGGTTGGTCTAGGTAGGAAAAAAATTGTTCGTGGCAACACTGTTCACGACATCAAAAACTTATCTAAGAAAGTTTTCAATTTAGAGGGTAGCAGGTCTAATGTATGTATAGGTGTGAACCGATGTTATTTACTCACCTGCTATGCAGTTTCAAGTCTAGAATGTTGACGCTTTTTTAGGATTTGCATTTCTGGGCCGCTGTAGCTTGGTGGTTAGTAATGCGTACTACCGCCCAGTAGGAACTAGGTTCGATCCCTGGTCCGATCAACTTCTGAAAATAGAAAAAGTTTTTTCTAAGAGCGGTCGCCCCCGGCAGGCAATGGCAAACCTCCTTAAAATTTGTAAAGTGGGCCAACATTTTATCGAAGGTTGATTTTTTATGAAACTAATTGCAAAGATAAGAAAAAAAACATTTGATAATTTTTCTTAATGCGTTGCGCATTGTCAAATGATCAATTTTTTGACTCACTGTTAGTTACAAATCAATTGGGTCTATAATCGCTTATCGTTTCAGACAAATAAAAAGACAAATAAAAATGCATTTACATTTTCTGTTTACATTGCTGTACGAGCACAAGAAGAAGAAAATGATATATGGTAAATATTAAATCGATACATACATATGTGTGTATGTATATATGGCCACTTTTCGAAAATTTGTATGCTTTCTTGTTGACAAACAGCTATCGTATTGATGACAAAATGCTGTACTCTAATTGCCATTGCCGATACTTCATGGTCTGCTCATTTACAGGTGTTACTACCAAGCCGATCTACATAAATAAAATACGCCACTTATCAAAGCGCTGAGAGCGGAGGAAGGCTCGCTTAGATAGGAAATATTTACATTAAGAACGGTTTACATAGAGCATATATTTATTTACTTATATACATACGTAAACACCGTAAACTAGCGTTAAATGAAGAAATTTGCTTTGTCATAAATCTTTCCTTTATGACTCAAGCAAAGTCGATAGTTTCACTTTCTATTCCATTTATCTAGCACCAACTAAATGCCTAGAGCGGCAGCAAAGTACAACAATAAATTTAAAAAAAAAATAAAAATATTTGTTGACGAAGTGCATTTGAAGAATATCATAAATGTGTCTTATTACCCGAAAAATCGATAAGAAGGCTGCGACTTCTGAAGACTAGGTACGTGACAACATATGAAGTTGTAGCGCGAGAAACAGAAAAGAAAAACAGAGAAAGAAATCAATTGGAAACAAAACCCAAAAAATATTGATTTTGATAAAAATTTGACGAGGCTCTGGAATGATTTTTTTTTTGTTACTTCTAATAGTTTGAGTGTATGGCGTAGTACTTTAAAAAATTTCCAATTTTAATTGCAATAGAGCAGCTACTGTTCATAAATTGTTTAATTTTAGTGATAAAATCATGCCTTTGCCACGAAATCGATTTCTGATTTTTATGTCGGTAACATGCTTACTATTCGGCTTCTGCTGCTTAACAGCGACGGTTGGTTCGTCAGGCAAAGCAAAGTAAATCTTATCAAATTGTGCCCCTATAATTTTGGCAACAATAAATTTTTTTATAATTATTGTATATCTATAAATATTTATTTAACTATATTTATGTATACTTTTTTCCACAGCACAAATCAATCAATCAAAAGTTAATGCAAAACAAATACAACAAACCAAACAGCAGTTTACTGTAAAAAATCTTAGCAAATAAATTAAAATAAGTGCTGAGTAAATAAAGAACAGCGAAAAAATTTGGAAGCGAAAAAAAAACAAAAAACATGAAAATAAAAATAACAAAATGTGCACACTTGAACGCGCAAGTGAACTAAATAAATACAAATAAGTAAAGAAATTGCTCTGTGGTAGTGCCAATTGAGTGCGTCCACAAAAACATTGCTCCAGCCCCGTTGTGGTAATCAATACAATACATACATACATAGATTTTTCTTCGCCCTCGTCGTTCACATAAAAACCTTCAAAATTATTCTCGAAATGGATATGACTTCAACAGCGGAAGCTGCCGCCCGCAGCTGGTATGATAATCCGCGTTTGGGCAGCTCTCCGCAAGCGAATGGCCTGGGCGGCGCCGGCGCCGGCGCCGGCTTGGGACATCACGCCCTCACAGCCGCTGGCACCACAGCGATGGGTGGTGGCGCTGGCCTCGGCGGCGGCGGCGGTGGTGGTGGCGGCGGTCTTGGCGGCTTGGATACGACCGATATGAGCGCCTTCTATGCGTTGGAGAGTAATGGCCATCATAGACGCTACTATCCGAGCTATCATCAGCACAGTAAGTGAAATATTAATTATTATGGTTCTTTTATTATAACAGCTTTTTTATGTGTACATTCTTATATTTATTGAAAGTAATTAAATTAATTTATTTATTTTTATTTTAAAGTAAAATTTTAATTTTTACTTATTCGTACAACTTTTAATTCTATTACATAATATCAAAAAAGTTTTAGTTTTCCGATTAACAAAAACTAAGAACTTCTTCAAAAATAATGAATTGTAAGACTGTTTAGAATATATATTTGACTTGTTCGGTATGACAAATTTTTATTTTTTTTTTTCAAGAATAAAAAAATAGTTATTTCTATCGTCAATTAGCCCAACTTAAAATATAGGATAGATTTAATCTCGATTAAACGATCGATTAATCCCATAAAACGGAATTTTCATACCGCATATCATATCTCAGAAAATATCTTTGATAGAGTACAGGAACTGGGTATATATACATATATGTATATAAAATCAATTCCATAGTCATAGAGGAGGGCTGCCACCTGTTTGGAAAATCTAATTCGACTTGCATTAAGGGAATTATTTATTTAAAAATTATATTAAAGAACGGATGACAAGACGCCTTAAAAAGTTGTAGTTTGAAAGTATTTTGGAAAGAGTTGCCACCTATTCGTAAAGCCAAATTTAAATTAATTATTCGCAAGCTATCTGAAAAATTAATATATGCGTGTCAAATGACCAAAATTAAATTCATTTAATTTAAATGAATTACTTACAATATGGGTATCAATAGAAAGGTTTTTAATAAGGGTTTTAGTTCTAAACTACATGCAGGAGAGTTGCCACCTGTTTAAAAATCAAATTCTTCTTAAATTAAAGAAATTTGATAATTGGAATATGTATCACAATAAGGATGTCAGACAAGAGGGTTTTAATAGAGTTTTAGTAGGAAAATATTTCGAAGAGGATTGCCACCTGTTTTAAAAATCGAGTTTATGTTAGAAATGTTCAGCTTGAACATGTAGAATTTTTTGAGGTTTTTGAGGAGGTTTGCCCTATTTGAAATGTAAATTCAAATACAATTATATTATAAGTTTAATGAGTTATTACAATCTAGGTTTTAATCGGAAGAGTCTTGAAAAGGCCTTATTTCTAAGCAACATATATGGGGCCGTCGGCCGCTGTGGTGTAGCGGTAAGCAGTGCGCGCTTCCACTCCGCAACGCCTGAGTTCAAGCCCTGGTCAAATCAACATCGCAAAAAAATATAGAAAAAAGGTTTTTTCTTAACAGCGGTCGTCCCTCGGCAGGCAATGGCAAACCTCCGAGTGTATTTCTGCCATGAAAAACAGCTTCTCATAAAAATACAATCGCCGTTCGGAGTCGACGTAAAACTGTAGGTCCCTCCGCTTTGTGTGACAACTTCAAGGCGCACGCCACAAATCGGAGGAGAAGCTCGGCCAAACACTAACATATGTGTAAGCGCCAATCTATTATTATTATTATTACTATTATATATGGGGCTCCACATTTTTAAAAGTTCAAATTCAATTTGAATTATAGGAACTAACGGTTTAAAAAGTAAATTTCAAAATGTAAAAATTTAAAGTGTTCTGATTTTTCCATATTTTAAGTATGTTGAGTTTAATTAAAATAAATTACACCTAATGTAGCACGTAGAAATTCCATATACTCAGCGAAGCGAGTGAGAGCCATCTAGTACATACATATATAAAATAACACTCAAATTCATAAATAATAAAGCAGACTTTAACAGCTTTAAATCGAAATTTTTTATAAAAACGTCACTTAAAAAATCTTTTTAAACCTATTTTATTTTTTATGAATAAGGCCATAAATTTATAGCATATACAGATCATTCTTGTAGAAAAGACAAAAACTCGTTTATCTGTTCAATATAAATGCGTAGACGAAATTCACATACATATGAGACCGAGGAATCATATAGAATATTTTAATGGATATAAGATTCTACGCTGCCTTCCAAACGAATCCACTTTCTTTTGCGAAATTCGATACACATGCCCTCAAAATTGTTTCCTTTTGACCTAAATAACATGTATGTAAACATAGTTTTATTGCTGTGGGATGACTGACCATAACCCGTGCCAACCAAAGTTAACGGAAGTTACAGACTAGGAGCTTCAGCTGGATCGAAAAAGCTGCGTAACTCTGGCGCAATTAAGGTCTGAAAGCAAAAAGTGGTTATGCATATCGAATTTCTCAGAAAAAACGCACTCCTTATCTTGTGGAACACCCTAGTACATGCAATATATGTATTTCTGTACAAATAAGCAATATAAACGCGTATGCAATAAGTATTTTATGTGCATATTATTCGCTTTGATTTATGTACATACATACATATGTAGGTATGCATGTATTTATATTTATAATCATGCAATGTAAACTAACTCATTATGGGCGCAATCCTAATGAGTTTTTAATGGCATTAGCGGTGGCGGCGGTGTCGACAATGATGGCAGCGCCGTTGCGTGGAAAACGCGCCCGCACCAATTTCGACCTCGACGACACGGCCTACTTGCTACAAGTGCAAGCATGTATGCATAAATATATGTGCATGTATATTTGTATCATTTTATTGGCAGGAAGGTCGATGTGGATATGCATATGTATGGTATGTACATTAGACCGTACCAGAAAAAAAGTGCGCTGTGCAACCATACGTCTAAAATATTTTTTCATATCTGCGGACTTTACAGTCGGATCTTAAAGTACGATATATTGATGACCTTGTCCCGAAGAGAAAATTCTTTTTTAACAAAGTTCATTGATAGCCCCTTCTAATATTTACCCATAAGATCCCATTTCTTATTCCCCCAACGTTCCAACCTAATGTCCGTAAATTAAAATTAATATTATTATTGTTAGAATTTTGCTACCTCTACCCACATATCCTTGCATACTATGTATATATATACATTAGCATGCATCACTCTCCATAAAAAAAATGGAACTGTTTTAATATATGTATCTATGTGCTTTAAGACTTTGGACAAAATATTTCGCAAAAACATTAAGACTTACGCCAGCTGGACCCTTTTGAATATACAGCCAAAAATCGAGAATAAAATTAATTTATAAAAATATTATTTTCCAAAAGCTCACCTTAGATGATAGAAGAGGTTAGTTAATCTCAATAGACTCGCATAAAAACGTTTAAAAATTTTGTCAACGGAATCAAAAAAAAATATATTTTTGTAGATACATATGTTCAAACGGGTGTAGCTTACGTAAATCTTAATATTTTTCCTGCATATTTTGGCGGATGTCGTAAAATATTATAGGTTTTATAATTCCGGTGGAAAAATCACCACTTTTTTGTTGAGGCACCCTGATGTTTATAGGGTACATTCATACTTATGCACAAAACTTCAATCGATATGTTAACGCCTATATATTTTTATGTACTAGTTCTTTATGAGGTCTCGCCTTACTTAGATTTATTCACTGAATTCTTCGCATTTCTCGTGGCCTCCTTTTTCAGTGTTTTGTTTTCTATAAATTTATTGGTTAGCTATGCATTATTTTTATATACAAAATAATATATCTTCTAAATATATATATATATATGTATCTATTTATGTACATATGTATTATGGGACTAATAGTTATATATAAATATGTATATATGTATATTTGTGTAGTTTATTGGTTGCAAAACACAAATCATCAACATTTCCCATATGCACGTATTTGTGTGTGTGTATATGACACTATATGTATGTATGTATACATATGTGAGTTGGTATATAGAGGACCATACAAACAAAAAGTTTTTCTTTTTTCTCCTATTGTTTTTTTAGTTTTGTTTTCATTTTAATGGCGTTTTTGTGTGACTTGAGTTTTGCGGCCAGCAACCACTATAAAAAAATGTTTTGTTTAGAATGCATGTTGTTGTTATTGGTATTGACGCCATTATTGTGCCATCAAGCGCATGCTATTAAATACATATGCCCATTAGGGTGGCCCTAAAATGCATGTGAAAAAGTAAAATCATAATTTTTATGCTCTCACCTACTAGGATTGGTCTATACCGAAAAATATACCCCTATTTTTTTATTGTGAAATCAAAAAATATTTACAGGTCGCCAAAGCCCAAATTTTCCATGTATTTTAAATGGAAAAAAAACTTTTCGCAAATATGGCATAGAATTCTTAAAAATCAAAATTTTTCTATCGGAGAACTATGTTTATCTGCAGAAGATTCCCAGGAGTAATAACCAGTTGTTTACTTAATTATTTTTTCGTCGCAACTATAATTTATAGGTCCGCCAAAAACCCACAAAAACCCCGAAAAATGCAAAAGGGGGACCAATAAAAAGTCGTTAGTATTTAAAACTGGTTAAATAAATAATTGGGTATTGTTATTGAAAGTCTACTGAAGAGAACCAGAGTTTTCCGATCGAAAAATATTGATTTTCAAGAATTCTATATAATTTTTACGAACAGTTGTTTTTTCCCATATAAAAATACTTGAAAAACTTTGAGCGCTTTGAGTGACCTCTAAATATTTTTTGATTTCAAAATAAAAAATTGGGATATATTTTTGTTCGATATAGAACAATAGTATAAAAATTTCGACTTTGCTGTTTTTGGACCCCTCTAATGTTCATACGAAAATATGTATGTATATAGTTTCAGTATCTTCCAATAGCGCCGCTGCGCTAAAAATTCAATAGCCACCACTATTACTTGCATATTACTTTTTTGTTTTGTTTTTTTTGTATTTCATTTTCAGTGTCTTACTTTCGTTCGTTTGTTTTGCTTCTTGTTCCCCATGTCAATTTTTTGACACTCGAAAAAATACATAAGAACTTACGATGCATAAGCGTCGAACTTTGTTTTGTTCAAATGTCATAATGCGCCTTCATGGAAATTTACATACAAAAAGGCGCAAATTCATAAACATATGTATGTATGTATCTACACTTTAACAAACATAGGTAATTGTTTTTTGGTTTGTTTGTGTATTCGAACAGCACTTCTGTATGCTAAAG